AGTGACTAGTACACGTATCTGTCGCGGACAAGAATTCTCTTAATTGCTAAACTTGAACATAAAACCAACAAAACTGTTAGTTAATTGTTATTTAAAAAGGCAAAGAGTCTAGTCACTGGAACTGACACCATTAGGAACGGTTCCTTAATCATTTTTTTACCAGTAAGCTTCCAAGTTTTCTATTGAAGAGGTTGTCCTGTTTTCTCACCCATCTAGAAACAACCATATCTGTACTTTAAATTTTCTGGAAGATTTATGGATTTTCAAATTTGTAAATGTTAAAACATCATTTATTCTGCAACTTCTCAATTCTTTACTAGTCCAGCGAACATTTGGAACTCGAGGTATTGACCATTGACGAGCTGAAACAATTCGATTGTGGACTATTCAAATTCATATTCATATTCACACAGGGTTCCGGTTAACGTCTCAAAGTCTTAATTGAGCAATACGCTATAATTGCATACTTCGGATACATTTCAGGATGACAACTTCAGATATTTCAACATTTATGAGCTGATAGATTTTAAGTTAAAAAATTGTTTCATCGAACGTCTTCTAGATCGACCTTTTTCTAATGACTGAGTTACTTTCAATCTACTAAAGAATCTTATAATTTTGGTTGTAAGGTCTGATTCAAAGAGTGCTTTTACCATGATATTTCAAGAGCACCTACCTTTTCATATGTTTTCATGCAGAAGTTGGGGTCCATATGAACGTTTACGGTGGAGATAATTGAAGGTGGTGGTCCCATCTAAAATATCATATTAAATTTCTCTTTTTATCGGTTAATTTAATTGAATTCATAAAGCCTTTACCTGATAAACAAGGTAAGCCCATCCTGGTTTGTTGATGTAGTAGTTGAGAGCCTCTGAGATCGTTTCTACATCGTCATAGTTTTGAAAGACGGTATCTGCTGCTGCAGCTACACTATCGTCCACGCAAAACGCTGAAATTTGGCAATAAGTATAGAATCTTTAGCAAAGTTACGATTTTTTGATACTCACTGTTGTCACCGTCATCTCTCTGTCCACTTGCGTTCGTAACTGTATATACTCGCTTCCCC